AACTTGTAGGGTTATAATGTTACTTCGTACGATAGTGCCTTCTTCATCAGGGGAAAATAACTTGTAGGGTTATAATGTTACTTCGTACGATAGTGCCTTCTTCATCAGGGGAAATAACTTGTAGGGTTATAATGTTACTTCGTACGATAGTGCCTTCTTCATCAGGGGAAAATAACTTGTAGGGTTATAATGTTACTTCGTACGATAGTGCCTTCTTCATCAGGGGAAAATAACTTGTAGGGTTATAATGTTACTTCAAGTAAATGGAAGAAAAGAAATAAACTAAAATCAAACATTTTAGGTTCAGTTAAACTACTTCAAGTTCCAATTTAATTTATGGACAACGTGCACCATAAATGTCTACCCTTTGTATACCCGCTAGTAAAAATGTACAACAAAACGAAATTCAACTGTTTGTTTTTAAATACAGAAAAAAAAAAAAAATTAAAAACATTCCATATTTCAAACCACAAATATTTAATGTTTGAATTGTCTATGGCATAATTTACTGCATAAAATTTTCAACTCATTTTTGGAGCATTCAATAAGTATGTATTTATTTTCATAGTGGGCTATCTGCTGTGCTCATCGAGCGGAATCGATCCCCTGATTTTAACGTTATAAATCCCTAGACTTACCGCCGTCTTACCGGGGGTCATATGCATTTAGAACAACAAGAAAAAGACAGGTTGGATATCCAAATGCTGTCTCGTTGAAGTTGCAAATGTGTTATATGTAATGTTTTATTATAAAAATGCCATTCACTAGCTCTTGCTTGCGAGTTTTGAAAGTCTATGACTGACACGTTTTGAACACCGTAATGCTTAACTGTAATATTGCGTGTAAGGTTCTGATAGGATACTAGCAAGTTCAAATATACAAAGTAAAAAATCGATCAAGCTAATTCAGCAAGAAATCGTCACGAATGTTCCTATTTGTGATTATTATTGTCGTCATCCAACACACCAGAAGTCTTCCAATTTCGCCCTACCCATTTCTGATGTCCTCGTGCATTTCCTGATGATGGTTTGGAATAAATAATCTCCCTACTTTAAACTGATTGGTCGAGAAAATAGGGCTTGGAGGGTATGCATACTGCATGGAAATAAAAGCCATATCTTTGCAGTAGCCATTTTCCTAGACAATTATGTGCACATTGAACATAAAATACAAAAGGACGCACTACTTTTCAAACTAAGCGTTTTAAATCCACGAGACAATTAAAAAAATCAGTACATTTTTACGATCACTAAAACGTAGAAGGGACCAAAAAACACGCGCATTCTTGGACAGTACAAGTTGGGTGCACTGTGCAAAAAGTTGTAATGATACGTTACATTTAAGTATCTATGCTAGTTATTAAAAGTTCGATATAATGAAAATGTTTTTATTTTCATTCAAAATTCAATCGATAAACTTATGGGACAAGTACGCTACTCACACAGACATATATATATTTATTTTATAGCCCCCTAGCGGTATGTCTGCGGACTTACAACGCTAGAAACCGGATTTCGATACCCGTGGTGGGCAGAGCATAGATAGCCCTTGTGTAGCTTTGTGCATAATTAAAAACAAATAAAACAAACAAGCAATTTATTTTATAATGAGTTATATGAACAGTATCCAGAAATGATGACACGATAGTTATTTGTTTTTGTGCGTAAAGTTGTTAATACAATTCTTGGACACTCTGTGTTTTTAATGCTTTTTTTTTTACCTTATTTGAGAAAAAGAAACAAATAAAACTTGATGATCGGTTCTCTTTGAGTATAAGGTTGCATGATAGAAACGGGAACTAGTCTGTATTGACTAATTCTGTAAAACAGTGATTTATGTGATGAGGCTTCCGTATATATTGTGTAGATACATATTAAAATGGTTTAAAACAAACTCTAAACTCAACATGCTATAAAATAGTCAAAGAAAATGACTCATTCTCTCTAAATGGAGAATATTAATGCTTCAGATATTTACGTGGACGTTTGTTTTCGCGTTTTCATATTATTACGTAATCGTTGGCACAAGTATAAGCGGAGTTTTATAATAAATATTAAAAACAGGGTATTGGTTTGTTACGAATTTCTCGCAAAGCTACACGAGGGCTGTCTGCGCTAGCCGTCCTTAATTTAGCCATGAAAAGCTACAGGGAATGCAGCTAGTCATCCCCACCCACCGCCAACTTTTGGGCTGCTCTTTTACCAACAAATAGGGGGATTGGCCGTCACATTATAGCTTTCTCATGGCTGAAAAGGAGAGCATGTTTTGTGGGACGGGGGTTCGAACTCGCGACCCGCAGATTGCGAGCCGAGCTCCCTAACCACCTGGGTATGCTAGGGCTGAAAAACAGAGTAATACAAAAAAACAAATCTTTAATTATGGACGACTTTCTTTAAATTCCATCACCAGCGTTAAAACCTCAAGTAGAAGCGGCTTTGATTGGCTATGCGGTGTTTTTTATGCTGACATCATACACCGTTTTTTGATATTTTATACCTTTTGTATTTTACAACTTTGTTGATTCATTTTGATGCCAAGTGAAAACTTTAGTGCATAACTTGCGCTAAGTTATATTTTAAAGTTTACTAACAAATTCGTTTTCTAAATGCATTGGTTAATAAGGTCAACGTGAAAGTTACCGAATATATATTGTAAACTGTTCGTGATGCCTTTTTATTACGTAACTCTTTGTTTTAAGATTTTTTTTTTAATGACAGACATTGCTATTCGCCGAAACGTTGTGAGGAGAACAATATTCAATAATCAACTTCTGTTTCTCGTCATATCGCAGTTTTATTGAGTTTTTTTTTTATAATGACAGACATTGCTATTCGCCGAAACGTTGTGAGGAGAACAATATTCATTAATCAACTTCTGTTTCTTGTCATATCGCAGTTATGGATATGTAATATTAAATTTTTTGTTTGCTTGTAGAACTACTCACACTCCACACCTAATATATGAAGCTGTTAAACAATCTCACACGTTCAACTCAATGGCAGCTTGCTATTGGTCTATTAAGAATAAGACCTTGAGTTTGCAGTCAGATATTAATGACGTTGGGCCTAGTTTTTGTGATTTTGAAGCGAGAAAACAGTGGCAATGTAAAATTTACTGTAACAATGCATCTTGCTTTGTCTATATGCTTTTACTGCCACTTGTACTTCTTAACTTTGCCAATTAATAAAGCTATTCTCTGATACTGAATACCAGATCAAATTTATAAATAGGCCAAGCTTGTCTTAGTGGTTAGCGTGCCCGGACTGTGAATCTGGGGGTTCATGGTTCGCGGCCGTTGTCGCACTTTGGGCGTGGATGCGCTATAAGAAAGAACGATCAAATCCAACTATTTGGTCAGACAAGAATATTACAAGAGTTGGTGGTGCTCTTGGCTATCTGCATTCCATGTAGTCTATCGGTTCAAAATTAGGGACGACTAATGCAGATAACCCTTGTGTAGCCTTGCGCGAAAATTCTTAAAGAACAAACAAATATATTTAAAAAACTTTCATTAGAATTGGTGCTTTTTTAAGAACGTCTAAGTTACACGAGATTCAGTTGTTCTCGTGTAAATTAATTGTGAAAACTACAAAGGATGCTAAATTTTCTCTTTAAATCATTTTATATTTTCTTTCACACACACACGTCATTCTAGATATTTTTTCACACATAAGTCATTCCAGGTTTTATTCCACACACAAATCATTCTAGATTTTCTTTCACACACGTCATTCTAGATTTTCTATCTCACACAAGTTATTCAAGATTTTCATTCACATACAAGTCATTCTAGATTTTTTCACACACAAGTTATTCTAATTTTCTTTTCTTTTTTCACGTAACTCTAAAAGAAAATGACGATTTTATCCTTGCTATATCGGGTGGAGCTTTAGCCTAAAAGATCAACATTAATATTCATTCATTTTTATTTTTCCATGCTAAAGGTCGTTTGGAAAACAATATAGTAAAAACTACAATGGGAGTGCCCATCTCCAAAACTTTTAAATATTGTTGCGTCATCGAGGTCACGTGACTGGTGTGGCGCCCTCTAGTTTCTAGAACTATCTTGTTCTTTCAGGAATGCTCTAGTATTTACTAGATGGAGGGTAGACTGGTATATAAGAGGGGGAAAACGTGACGCGAAGAGGTAATGTAATGTGTGTATAGACAGTGAGTAATTGAACTGCAGTCAGAGAGCACGAGAGACGTTACAGCGTTTGTTTAGCGCGATTGTTGAAGTTGAGTGTATTGGTAAAGTTATATTCGGAAAGAATAAACCAGTTTTATTAAGAAAGGACTTGTGTCGCTTACGTTTTGTCGGAACGAAGTTACGGAAAATCAATTAACAAACGGAGACGTAACAGAGGTTTAAGAGCAAGTTTGATAAATATTTGAATGATAAGAGCTGGCTTTGAGGTTTTTAGTGTTTAGTTTAATTTAATGGGTAGGACAACCTAAATTAAACAAAATGCCCCTTGTTGTCTCATTTAATATTATGTTATGTTATATATTATAGGTTACAATAGTATGTTTTTTTCTGCTGTTTTTTTAAACTTAAAATAAGTGATTGGTTGTTTGTTGTTATGCTCAAAACCTTACAACAGGATATCTCTGCTGGTTCTACTACAGAATATCAAACTCCAAGTTTTACCATTATATGTTTTTAAACTTTCCACTAAGTCGCCAAAATAATATTGAGACATCTAGCGTTGAAGAAACAAACTTCATAAACATGGCAGCGTGTATGAATGGTTTAGGTTTTATAATTGTATCGTCCGCTGTAGCTCAGAATAGTAGGAAATATGTTCAACTTTTACGAACAAGGCATAGGATAAGGTATTTTGATAGGTGTTTAGCTGATATTAACCGTAAGTATTCAGGATGGAAAGAAACGACGAGTGCTTCTAAAGAAATTTTGTTTAGCAGTGGGTGAGTAGTAATGTTCGTTTAGTGGTTGTGCCGGGTTCGATTAGAATTTAGACTTAAAAGTACCTGGTGTGAAACTTAAAGCCAGCCCGGGAGTTTAAGTTCGTGGCGTGTTTATCTTTAAGCTAGTTTCACCGCTTAAGCCGTGATTTTTATTTATAAAGTCAAAGATGTAACAGTTATTTAAGAGTTACAATTATATGCAAGTATGAACGAAGTTAACATTAACAGTTATTTTAAAAGTTTAAGACTAGTTTATATTGTGTTAAATTTTAAAATAACCTGTCCGGTTTTGTCCTGTAAAATCTGGTAAAACATCGGAATTGAATGAATTTCAGAAACCCATTTCCTGTTGTAATGTTAATAATTAGACCTGAGACAGATTGAAGTTTCTGTTTCAGTAAATTTATATAAGAAATTAAATGTCCTTGGTGGGACATTGGTAAGTTTATAGATTTACAGTGCTAAGATCCAAAGTTTGATTTCCTGTATTGGACGCAGCAGACAGCCCAATGTGGCTTTGCCTTAAAACAAATAAACATAAAGTAAAATCTTATGACAAGGCTCTAGATCCCTTCCACTTGATAAAACTTGCAGATCAAAACTATATATATTTTTGAGATATTATAATCCAGTTCTTTGAAATATTGAATTTAAAAATATTTTCAGTTTTTATCACCCAGTATAATCTAAAGTAAAATGTTGTCAATGTCAAATAATGACAATATAATAATAAAAACAAACTTTATATTTCATTAATTCATTTATCTGAAACAATAAATGTGCTTCTGGTTCCTTGTGGTTGAGGTGAGCACAGCTCAAATGAAGCAATAAATTATACTATATAATAACTATTGAGTCATAATTTTATGAAATGTTTGCTTGCCTTATAACCATTTCAGGATTGTGGGGAGGAGAAGACTATGCATAACTAACAGAACATTGACAGGTTTTCAATATTGCATTCCTTTGGAGAAAATAGCACCAAAAATAACTGGGCAATTTCAGTGGCAACCAAGTTCACATCAAAATTCTGTGGTCAGGTTGTTTGAACTTTGTCATTGTATTAAAATTGTCCCCATTGAACTATGCATTCAGGAAATATATTGTGCAAGTAACACATTAGTGCTTTATTTGAAGCAACACTGTTGTTACAAACCCTCAAGAATAGGAATGGAAACATACCCATACCAGTGATAACATTTTGTTTTCTATATCTTTCTAAATAAAAGATTTTTTGGAAGGATATGCGAGATTTAACAAACCTGCATTGTACTGGTTCAGATTGCTATTGTAGGTAGAAGTGCCAATGTCTATCATCAGGACTGATATATAATGATTACTACTTTGGTAGTAAGAAATATTTTCTGGGACTGTATTATCGTGTAGTTTTTTCAAATGATGATGATTAAAATGAGTAAATAAAAACTAATGAGTGCATCATGAGTCAGAAAATATTGTAGTTGTTACAGTTATCAGCATAATATGATAAATTTAAGGTGTGCAGACACTATAAAGTTTAAACAATGTATCATGTTGCTGCAAAGCTTAGGGCTGAGTGATTTTATTTTGAAATGTTTATGTTGTGAAAATGCAATAATTACATGTAACTTTTTATACTAAATTTGCTCTGTTGTTTTTTGAGGCTGTGGAATTGTTTTATAACATTTTTTTAGTTATTTTTTTGCAGTATTCATCATTTTTCTTGGTATGCTGAAATTATAATTATAATATAAAAATTGATTTACTTTAACTAAACTACAATTTTAGAGTCTAGAGATAAAATAGATTAAACACGATTATAGATATTTGCTCTACTGCCATTGAAGTTATCCTAAAAACTAAGCCTCATTTGAGAAATTGCCATTGTACTATATATATATCACTGACAAAAAGAGTAGATAACTTCAGTTATAAGTATGTTTTCTAGTTTTATGTAAGTAGAACTTTTTCTATGGTTTTTGACTATATGGTACAACTATAGTGTGATGTTATCATATTAGGTGGAAAATTATTTATTACATTGTCTCCATACAAGACTGTATGACTGTAGATAACTTGACTCAGTTATTTTATAGCTTAAGTTATGTAAACAATATAATAGATTAATTATGGTAACCTTGTTTGAAATCTCTCTTATAGGAAACCATTGAAAATTAGTACAGGAAAATTGGCCAGGTTTGCAGATGGGTGTTCAGTAGCTCAGCTTGGAGATACTTCAGTTATGGTGACAGCTGTCAGTAAAACTAGGCAGAGCTCTTCGTCATTTTTACCATTAGTGGTTGGTGTTTTGGTTTACTAACATATACCCAAGAACATTGCTATACTTTTTTGTCAGCTGTCTGTTTCCAGTTTATTTTCTTTCTAGATTATAGTGGGACTAGAATATTTTAGAGATTTTGTAAATAAACACTCTCTGTTTTAGAGAAATAAATAGATAAATAATTTCTTTATATAGATATAAATAGCATTTATTTATAAGTTTTCAGTTTAATCTTTCCAGTTTTATATTAAACATTTTTCACAAAAATAAACTAATGAAAGCATTCAACTTGTTTTTTTATTCTGTGTTCTCATTTAACTGCCACACATTTTTTAAAACCTTACTTCAAGTAAACTGTGTGAATTTTTTTCAGACTTGTCTTGATTCTTGAATCGATCAGTTCTTTTAACATGTTTGAAATATAAGGCACAAGCAGCAAAGTATCAGAATATGAATCTAGGAAATATACAGTGACAAATAATTTTGTAGTTAAGTTTGAAAATAATCCAAGCTTTTAATATTTGTCTAGTATGGTGTGATTTATGCTATCTCTATAAGTTGATTGTAGAGCATGAAATTTGAAGAATACTAGATGAATGTAAAGTGAATGCCATAATGTATTACAGGTTGATTACAGACAGAAAGCAGCAGCAGCGGGAAGAATACCAACTAACTTTTTACGGCGTGAACTAGGCCCTACAGAAAAAGAAATTCTAACTAGTCGAGTAATAGGTAAGTCTAAAAAAACATCATTAAAGTCTGTGTGTCCATCAGTGGTTTCATCATTTTAAGTGATTGTTTTATAACAACTATAAAAAGAGATTAAAATGTTTTCTTTGATAAATGTAAGTAATTCAACAGTGGTATTTAGAAGTTTTTTATGTGCTTAATTTTCATACATGGAGTGAACCAATGTGTTTATATGATGATCAGGTACATAAGTATTTTTAAAGTTTAAAAATGATTGAGAAATATGTATTATTATTATTATTGTGACTTATGTTTTTTATTTCTAAAGTTGAAAGAAGTTTCTTTACTGTTTTTTAACTATAAACTGTTTTAAGAACTAGTATAATAAAACTAAGTAATTAGTTAATGGTTATTAAAATAATAATTTTTTTCCCTAGATAGATCAGTAAGACCGCTGTTTCCTGAAGGCTACCTTTATGATACTCAGGTATAGTATCAGAGTTTAGAATTGTCATTTAAGTGTGTTTGGCTGTCACTGGGAATTCTACACAGTTTACCTTGAATGCTAAAAATGTTGATTCATCCTGCCAATGACAATAAACATATGTTTTATTAGCTTGTGAATTTTACCACAGCTAGGAAGGCCTGTTGAACATATGGTACAATTAATGATATTTTTATTAGAAAATGGTGGTGCTGATAAACAGTCTGATGATAACGAGCCTTCCTGGATTTTATAAAATTCACAGATTATGATTGTATTGGAAATGTTTGTGTTTGCTGGCTGTGTAACCACTTCCATTTTATTGCAACCAGTTTGGCTTGTTTTGCCTAAAGCTACACGAGGGCTATCTGTGCTAGCTGTCCCTGATTTAGCAGTGAAATACTTGAGGGAAGGCAGCTAGTCATCATCACCCACTGCTAACTCTTGGGCTTCTCTTTTTACCAACAAATAGTGGGATTGACCATCACATTATAATGCCCCAATGGCTGAAAGGGGTGAGCATGTTTGGTAGGATGCTGATTCTGAGATTGCGAGTCAATTACCCTAACCACCTGGCCATGCCAGGCCACCAGTTATATGTTCCCTGTAAATTGAACAGGTACATGAGATTAGGCTATGAATTAAAATATGTTGAGTAATTCAGAGGGCTGACTATAATATTCAAAATTACAATGGAATGTGTTTAAAAAATGTAGATTTTGATCAAATAATTTGTATATGACTTTAATTAGCCAGTTTTATATCTTTCAGTTTATATGATACAAAGATCTGTTTTCATGTTTAAATGCTGTAATTGCTTCTGACTACTATTTATGTGCTTACACAACTGTCAGAATTAGATGTAGGTACAAAATCACCATATATCTTTATCTTACATAAAAAACAATGTTTACATCCACAATAATTTCTACAACTTGTAATATGTTTGTTTCATATTTTTCATTTTGCAATGCATTATTGAATACAACTTTTTATCATAGTAAAACTAACCATGCAGTGTTTATACTTAAATTTTTCAACTCGAAATCTAACGTTTTACAAAATAAGAATGCCGGCTTTCTGCTGTTTTAAGTGTTGAGTCTGTGTACTTCTATGTGGATGTGTATTGAGAAATGTTAAAATTTATTCGGGATGGAGCACACGTGTGTACAATTTTATACATCAGCAAGACCACTTTTTAAAAAATAATTTAGTGAGTGCCATAGAACTTTTAAGTTAATGGACTATCTGAAAATGGAAATATAAAAACAATAGTTATGACGATTTACAGTTATTAGTTTCTGTTCTGCCATTATTGTACTATTTTTATCTTTATTTAATACTTTTCTTTATATTTAATAGCTGGTTTGCAACTTGATTGCTGTTGATGGCCACAACGACCCTGATGTTGTCAGTATAAATGCAGGTAAAAACATTTTCTCCTCAGCTTATTGTGGAGTAGAATTGTTTAAAATAAGTTTAGGACAAAAAGAGACCTTTCGGTTCATCTAGGCTGTCCCATCTAAACTTAACTTTAAAAATATAACACTCAAAGCCAGTCCTTGTCATTCAAATACTTATCAAGCTTTCCCTTAAACTCCATTAAATTAACCACATCCACTACATCTGAAGAGAACCCATTCCAAAGGCCAAAAAAATAAAAGTTTTAGTTGAAGATGACTCTTACTCTGTCAAAAGTTATGACCTTAGTTTTATCATTCTAACCATTCAGAATGAAAAAAGATGATGCATAAACACTATAAATTCCATTAACAATCTTAAATACCTCAATGAGACCCACTCTAACTCTTTATTTTTTTCTTCAAGCAAAAACCATTCCAGGTATCACCCTAGCTAGTAGCCCTCCTCTGAATCTTTTCAAACAGTTCGTAGTCTTTCCTAAGGTAAGAAGCCCAAGATTGAAAACAATAATAACTTCAAATGTGGCTTTACCAATGACCAATAAAATGATAACTTCTTTAGATTTGTATTCAACATTTCTGTAGATAAAACTTAAAATCCTATCTATTCTTCCACTAGCAACAGGTTATTTCCATCAAAATTATAGTCATCATTCAAATTACGATATGCATTACTTTGAATTTTTTATAGTTACAAATTACCTGCTATTTATTTACTCAGCTCACCAAATATCAAATCCTTTTGTAAAGCAGCATCTTCCTTACACCATCAACATTCAAAACCTTAATATCATTAGGAAATTTAAATAATTTTGGACCATTCTCATCATCTAGAAATAACCTTATTGGTTATTTTCAATTTCAGAAATATAACATTACTCCTGTTATTTGTAAATATAATTTGCTGAATGCACTTTTAATTAATCCTTAATAAATTTCATTCATTCATTTAGTTCCTGCAGCCCTTCAGTGGCTCAATAGTAAGTATGAAGGCTTATAATGCTAAAAATCTGGTTTTGATACCAATATGTATCCTTGTGCTTACCAATAAACATGTAGTTCCTTCAAAATGACAAAAATATAAGACAACTAATCCGAAACTTTAGCTGCGATTGTAACTTACAAAATAATAACCTTGAAAGTACTTTATTGATATTTTGTGTTGGTAAATAAAAATGTTCTGTAATCTCTGTTGACTCTTTTAAAAATGTCTAATTTTCAAATGTATTATTCATAGTATAAAATGTACTTTCTTTTTCTGACCATACTCTGTTGTCTGGTGTGAACAGTTACCCACTGTTTCTTGATGACAAAGCTATTTCTTTTCCTTAAGCTGGGATTCAATTATCTTTACTGTTGCTATTCAAGAAAATAGCTTCCTTCTCAGTTCACATACCTGAGCCCACTGGTTTGAATTATGGTAGACCATATTTAATGTTCTCCTGTTATGAGAGTAATTTATAATAGTTTGATTGTTTTCTGTAGGTATATTTTCTGTTGGTTTCTTCACTTTTTACTATAGATCCTATGTTTTTCACTTAACTAGTGAACTGTCAACATCCTCTTAGTTCCATCTGGATGTTGCCCAAGTATACATCATTGTTTGACAGTTAGTTTTTCCTGTTTCCTGTTTGTTCTCTTTCTCAAAACTTGAGTGCTTAGGATGGGCAGTTGCATATTTTCTATAGTTATTCCTCCTTTTTTTTGAGTAGGTTATTGTTGTTCTGACTCAATCAAACATATCTGTGCTACATTGAAGTTTGTTATTATCTGGTTCACACTGCACTCTGTAGTAGTTTCTCATGAAAGTTTCTATCCTCATGTTGATTGTAAGCAAAAGGACAAGCTTTACCTGAAGCTGGTTCTCATCACAGTGTTCACCTTCATGTTGATTGTAAGCAAAGGGACAAGCTTTACCTGAAGCTGGTTCTCATCACAGTGTTCACCTTCATGCTGATTGTAAGCAAAGAGACAAGTTTTACCTGAAGCTGGTTCTCATCACAGTGTTCACCTTCATGCTGATTGTAAGCAAAGGGACAAGCTTTACCTGAAGCTGGTTGTCATTACAGTGTTCACCTTTATGTTAATTGTAAGCAAAGAGACAAGCTTTACCTGAAGCTGGTTCTCATCACAGTGTTCACCTTCATGTTACTTGTAAGCAAAGAGACAAGTTTTACCCAAAGCTGGTTCTTATTACAGTGTTCACCTTTTTAATGGATGTAATCAGAGGAACAAGCTTCACCTGAAACTGGTTCATGTCACATTTTTCATCTTCACGATGATTGTAAACAAAGGGAGAAACATTTCTGCATGCATGATGAAAGTGGTGTTTTGGTCGTTTTTTTATTTAGTGAAACTGTCTTGACATAATTATTATTTTTGGAATTCACATTGACACATCTGGATGGATACATTTCTTCCAGTTATTCTCATGTCATATTTTACTCAAGGCTTCATGCACTTTTTGGATAGATTATAGATACAGATCTCATGATTCTCTAGAAAGATCAGATACAAGCGTTCATAAGATATTTCACAGAGGACACAGTGGATTTGGGAGGAGAAAGGCAAAGAATGACAATTGTCAAAGTATAAGTTACTGGCCATTCAGTGTTATCTCTTTGATTTAAGTTCTAAATTATGGACCTACAACTGATGTGTTAAATTTGGGTTTAACTTGTAGATAAAATTTGATGCATGGGAACTGGTAACATTCAAGTAACCTCTGTTAAATATTAGACGTTGATTTAATCATTCTCAACCTTCTTTAGTACTCTAACATGTAAGGCTGGTAATATTCAAACCTTCAGTTCATTAATGATTTTAATGCTGTGAGAATTGATATGTTTAATCAGTTTTATCTGGTTTATAGAAATTTATTATCACACAGCAAAAACTGTACATAAAAAGATTTTTTATTTATTCTATGGATCTTATTTTCAGCTTCTGCTGCTCTTTCTTTGTCTGACATCCCCTGGAATGGGCCAGTTGGAGCCGTCAGAGTGGGGATGATTGATGGAGAACTTGTCATCAATCCCACACGTCGAGAGCTTGTACAAAGCTCACTAAACTTGGTGGTTACAGGGGCTGAACATAACCTTGTAGGTAAGCTTGGTGTATTGAGATATCACTAAACAAAGTGTCATGTCAAAGTAAATACATCTGTGTATAATAGATTTATATAGAGATAGCTAAACTTTGTTGTAAGTGTAGATGAATATTCTGCTCTTCTGAGATAAATAAAGCATGTGCTAAAATACTGTACCAGATATAATAGTAGTAGAAACTGAAAACTTGAGGTAAAAAAGTTCTGAGATAATAACTCACACAAAATAGCTATCTTCCTTGTGTGTCTTCTTTCGAGATTTGTATGCACTAGCCTTTAGGCAACTCCCACCTAATTTTACATGTTTTAATATGGACTATGCTGGTTTATGATGATGCCATCATGTGACTAAAGTCCACCACCAATCGGAGGGGGTCACAACCTCCACGTGTAGTAATTTCTCCTATGCACTTGCACTCATAATAACTTCATTCTTTTCCTTGGGATTTCATTGAATAGATATGTTCAGAATTTCTCATCCAAGTTCAGTTTGATGAGATTTACATTTTTAAGGAAACTTTGGTTTTTGTTATTTTCATCTGTTGTTTTAAAAGCTTTAATTTTTGTCATGAATTCTCAAAGGATGGTGACTTTTATTTAATCTTGTGTGAGTGATGATATTACACACACACAGCCCTTTTTTCTACCATGGCTTCTGGAGACTCATTACCTGTAGGAGATGTTGCAGCCATTGTTCAATGTGTTGTAGATTACCACATGCTTATTGAGTTTCTTACTCCCACTGAGGTGCCTGAAGTTCTTTCTCCTCAGTTGGGAATGATCTAATGGATTATGAATTTAACCTGATTTGCTTTGGGTTGTGCCTTACCATTCAAGGAATGACCCCAATCTTTTTCTATATTTCATTCTCAGATGGGTTCCTTTCTTTATCTTTTACCCTTGTCCTTTAATGTTTCTCATTTTTCACCCCATGATCCTGATTATTGGTGTTTACCTTTTTTCAAACAAAAGACTTCTGGTATTTGAATACAGGATGAGAGTTTACTCCGTTTCGATGTGCTAGAACTTCTCGCTGTCTATCTGGCACGTTCCCATTCCTGCTCCTAATGGTTGATCACTTGATCATGATTCACTCTGTCAGTTTCATGGTTGTTTCTTAGACCTACTATCCAGGAGGCACCTGTTCCAGGACTCTTTGTTTTTGGGCATTGGACATACTTTTCTGGGCCCATTCATATCAGGTTTAGCTTGTGTCAGTTGGTCATGAACTGCCTCTCTCAGCTAGTCCTCATTCTACCTGTAGAGTAGTCCCAAGCCTGACTGAGACTTTATTGGGGTTTTGTACTCTTTCACATGTTCCCTGTTTGAGTTGGCTTCTTGCTATTTGTACCATCTTTCTCTCCAAATTTATTTCCTCTTTATTCTAGCCTGTGATTACCATTGCTCTGCTGTCTATGCTCTGGATGCTCTTCGCACCCTGTTTCACTGCATTTATATACTCATCTCTTGAGACCAGTCTTTCTTTCCTAAGGATTTGACTGCTCAGGAGAGTAACTTCTTTCTGTCTCTCACCTATTTGATCATTCAGATTCTGACTGTTCAGGCTGTTCAGTGTTGCTTATCATGGACTTCTCTCTTTCTACCTCTACTGAATAGGTGTGTCAATTCCTCTGATTGGTATGTTTAACTGTTCATGTTGATGCTCACAGGTTGTTTTGTATTTCTTCACATTTCGATTTGTTACCTTTCACATTCTTTTGTATCTCAGCTTTGTTGGCTCTAGGATGACATCCTCCAAGTGGATATATAGATGACATATTTGTCTCTCCTTATCTACACCATTTGGTTGTTTTGTCTCTTGCTGGATATCAGCTTCCACCAGTCACCAGTTTTTCAACCATTTCACTGTCTGTGAGAAGAATATGTACAATTCATTTTCAAAGCCCCTTTTCAATTTTATAGGATCCTCCCATGTGGCTGGTGTTGCATCCCAGAGTATACTTATTCAAAATCTGCATCAAGCCAGGACAATGGAAAGACCATTTGAGGTATCCTCGTGTTATACCTATTTACTGAATTGTTCGATCCAGTCTGTACCTATTTCATGGAATATCATAGAAAAAACCAGCACCAGGGAAGTTTCAGCCCACTTCTTTGACTTGCACTTGCTGGCTTTTAAAAAATAGGGTTTTTGTGGTCACCCATTGCACTGCCTCCAATAAAAGACTTTTCAGGTTGGAGGTCTCATGGGGATTTGGGTACTTCTCTTGGTCTCTCCAGTGTGAGTTCTCACTTCTTTTTATTCTTTAAGTGATGCACAGGTGGCCCCTTGCCAGTTCCTAGTTGCTGGGGTGATGAATCATGGAGAATCATCACTGGTTGGGTTTAGCACAATACAGTGAGAAGTGGGGTGGTAGTGACACTGTCAGTGTAGTGTGGGTCACTCTTATAAAAAGTAACACATATCTATCATGCCCTCCTCCTGCAGTCAGAGTCTATTCAGTAGAGTTGATATGAGCACACAGTGTACAGGCATCATGATAGAGAACTAACGTGCCATCATCTTGCAACCAGAGCCCGTTCAGTAGAGTTGATGTCAGCACACAGTGTACAGGCATCATGATACATATCTAATGTGCCATCCTCCTGATTGACTATTACACCAAGATCCATTTCCTTCATAACACTCTTAACATTATTCCCATCCAAATTACATTTATAATTCAAATTATGATAACCCACATGCATTATTTTGCATTTATTATAATTAAAACCCATCTACCATTTATTCACCCAACTCATTAAACAATCTAAATCCATTTGTAAATCAGCAGCATATTCTTCACAGTTAGCAACACCCAAGACCTTAATATCATCTGCAAATTTAAGTAATTTATTGACTACTCCTTCATCTATGTCATTGATGTATATCAAAAAGAGCAAAAGTTCTAAGACTGAGCCCTAAGGTACCCCACTTATTACATTAATCCAGTTTGACTGAACTCCATTTGTAACAACCCTCCGATTTCTTCCATCCAGCCACTCTTCTATTAACCCTCGACGTGGAATCCTGTACATGGTGAGGGGACCTCCCAGGGATGGTTCTGTATTTTCAGTTACTTCCTCTGGGATCCAAACATCCACCCACTTGTTTGCCGTGAGTGGCAACCCATGAAGGGGAGGAGAGGATCCTGTTGGTTGAGCGGTGTCTGGGGCTCTGCAACACACCACTTTGGTCTTGAATTCCTGTAGACGGGTAGCCTTGGGGTGGCCCTCCCCAGGGTCAATCGGCTGGGCCCCC